GGGGGGTAGTGGACCCACGTCCCCGGTCTCGTCTTTTTTTACCGGACCGACTTGACCCCCCGGTTTTTTGGGTTTTTTTTGTCGGTTACTCTCTGTGCGGTTCGCTACCTGTCAAGTGCGCGCGCGTGCGTGCGCGTGAGTGAGTGAGTGAGTGAGTGTGTGCGCGCCCCTGTGTGTGTGTGTGTGTGTGTGTGAGGGAGGGAGAGAGAGAGAGAGCAAGTTACGCCGGTACCGCGGAAACCGGGGAGCCGCTCGCCCCGGGTCGCGTGTGTGTGTGTGTGTGTCTGGACCTGGACCTGGACCTGGACCTGGACGGACGAGGATGAGAAAGTGTGGGACTCCGTACTCCTACAACTACTACTACTCCTCATACTCTTCCTCCTCCTCCTCCTCCTCCTCATCTTCCTCCCCCTGCTCCTCTCTCTATCCTCTCCTCCAGCGCTGTTGATTTTTGTTGTCTTTTTGTTGTTGTTGTTTTTAACAGCGTTTTTTTTTAACCGCATCACTTCACCCGCGGTGTCAAGTTTCGGACGCGGCGGGAGAGGAGTTGACTTGACAACTAACCCCCATCATCATCATCATCATCCCCCATCACCCCCCCCCCCCCCCCCAAAAAAAAAGGAGGACTTATTGTCTGGTCTCGTCGCTCCGACCATCTCCACTATCTCCTCTCACCTCCGCTTCTTTAAAAGTCCCGTGGATGGAGAGAGAGGAGGAGGAGAAGGAGGAGGAGGAGACCCTCTGAGTCCGTCCCGCACGCCGCCTCCGGATCAGGACTAGATAAGTCTAGTCCTCTCCCCCCAACCACCTCCTCCCCCATCCTCCCCCCCCCCCCCCCCCCCATCCATTGTAATTGTAAGTGAACAGGTGTTTTACCTGTGAACCTCCTCCCCACTTCCTCCCCCCCATCCCCACTTCCTCACCCATCATGAGCGAGATGATGGCCAGCGAGGAGACACTGAGTGTGGTTTCGCACACAAGTGATGGCGACGGGGAAACGACGCCAACGACGCCGACGCCGACGTCCGGCGGCGGTGGCGGCGGCGGCGTGGCGGCGGCTCCTCCTCGCCGCGGCGGCGTCCCCATCAGGGGCATCCGGATGAAGTTCGCGGTGCTGGCCGGCCTGGTGGAGGTGGGAGAAGTTTCCAACCGCGACATCGTGGAGACCGTCTTCAACCTGGTAAGAGGATTACACGCCTATTATGGAATTACACACACTCCACCTCCACCACCTCTTCCTCTTCCACTTCCTCTTCCTCCTCCTCCACCACCTCTTCCACTTCCTCCTCCTCCACCTCCTCCACCTCTACCTCATCCTCCACCCCCACTTCCACCCCCTCCTCCACCTTCTCCCCCACCTCCTCTTCCACCTCCTCCTCTTCCTCCACCTCCTTCCCCACCTCCACCTCCACCTCTACCTCCTACACCTCATCCACCTCCTCCACTTCCACCACCTCCTCTTCCTCCACCTCCTTCCCCACCTCCACCTCCACCTCCTACACCTCATCCACCTCCTCCACTTCTACCACCTCCTCCACCACCACCCTCTCCTCCACCACCCTCCCCCTCCTCCTCCTCCTCCTCCTCCAACTCCACCTGTCTCACGCGATGGGGGGGGGGGGTGGGGGGCAAGGGGGGGTCACGTGATCCAGGTTGGCCTCACTGTGTTTCATTATAAAACATGGCTGGCGTTGCACGCCGGTGTCGTTATGCACATACAGGTGTGTGTGTGTGTGTGTGTGTGTGTGTGTGTGTGTTTGGCTTTAAGTGACTGTGTGTGTGTGTTCAGCTAGAAGTTACTGTGTGTGTGTGTGTGTGTGTGTGCGCATGGATATTTTGGTCGGCTGCCATTTAAATCAGGGTTAATAATAGTGTTATAATAATAATAGTAGTTTCTCTATTGGCTCCTGTTCTGACACGCTGTTGGATAGTGATTGGTGCGTCGTTGTACCACCTACACCACCACCACCACCACCACCACCACCTCCACCACCACCACCACCACCACCACCACCATAGTCTATGACATGAGTTATTGTGCACTCGCCAGTGAATGAATGAAAGTAACAAGGAAGTGCACCTTGCCTGCCTGTTAAGGTGGGGGGGAGGTGGAGGAGGGAGGAGGAGGGAGGAGGTGGGACCTGCAAAAGTGCCTCGTCACTTTGGTCACGGCACAATGGAGTCCGCAGGGAAGGAGGCTCTTCTCCACCAGGGACCCCTGTGGGGTTAGCTGTCACGGAGACACCGGTCCCCACGGGGGGGGGGTTGAGCGGTCTTGTGCGTAAAGGAAAAAAAACAAACCAACCAAACAAGCAAGCAAGGCAAGTCCTAGGCCTGAACCTCCGCCCTGTCCTGTCCACTCCCTATGGGTCCTGCGAGGAGGCGGGTCATAATGAATGGGCCAAACCAAGTGCTCCTCTCTCCTCACTCTTCTAAGTGTAAAACCAGCGGACACAGAAGGCCATGTAGGAAACTTTGAACGTACGGCAACCAATAGAGCTGCGGTGAAGTTATTTCATTCATAATGCATGTTTCAGAAACCTTTTTGCCCCGGCTTTCACGAAGGTAATCTTTCCCTTTTTTAAGACCGAGCGTTTTTTGTACGCCCTTTTACCCCCCCGGCTAGTCCGACTCCTGTCCCCGGCAGCCGTTGCCATGGGAGGAATTCGACAGAATTCGTGGCACTTGAGGTTCAAACACCACCAGCGTTTTTTTTTCCTGTCCATCCAGCCGATCCATCTCATTCAACTCGTCCCACTCCCCCTCCCCCCTCCTCCCTCCCCCCTTGCATTCCTTCCCTGCACCCCCCCCCCCCCCCCCCCCCACACTCCCACTTGTTGGTAATCTGATTCATCATAGTGGCATCCCATTTTCGCAGTTTACTCCCTGACATTACCATGCAGTAATGTCTGTAATGCAACAGGGGCGTCCGCAGATCGTCTCAGAAGAACGATCTCTTCAGTTCACTGCATCTCGTCATTTAGCAGACGCTTTTAAGTAATTAATAAAAACTTCCAATTAGTAAGCGTGTCATTAATGAGCAGGTACTGGCGTCCTCTTGCCTGAGTACAGCTGGTATAGTGTAATTCGATGCGATTCAGCTTCCTCAAAACTCACAGGAAGTGATGTTTTTTTTTTTTTTTCCAAATTCAAAGTTTATTCAAATACACAATTTAATGTACTGCATACAAAATGCAAAATACTCTCTATATGTTGTTAACCGTTAGCCTACTTTGGAACTGATAAGTGAAACAAAACGTCTTGCACAACCCGCTGTTAACGTTTCGTGAGCAAAACCCAGTCAAAGGGATGGTCACTGAATAATTAATGTGTAAGCCATTCACTTAGTTCACGGGCCTTTCCACTCAACGGTGTGGACTACTGCGACAGGCCTTTGCCCCGCTGCGCTACGCTAGGCTAGCAGGCTAGGCTAGCAGGCTAGGTGAGGTGAGGTGACACAGGAGATTGGCGGTTTGAGACTGGAATGCTGTCCGCAAGGTCAGCCAGTAGGCGGCCATCTTCCTGGGGTCGTTTCTTTGAAAACCAAAAATGTTTTTGGTACAATACAATGTTGTTTATGTAGGTTTATTTACTTTAAAGTAAACTGTGTGTGTGTGTGTGTGTGTGTGTGTGTGTGTGTGTGTGCGCGTGTGTGCATGTGTGTGTATATTGTTGCTCATGTGACATAATATTGTCACATGTTTTCGCGATATTCAATTCCAATTAATGTTTATTCAGGTTATTTGATAGGATTTTGTAAACCACCGCTTTCCTGATTTTGTATATATCAAGGACAAACAAAATGTTTTTTTAGATAGTTTTCTGTCTATCCTAAAAATAGACTCACAGCAGGGAAAACGTGATGTGTGCAAAAAAAACTGTGTGGGATAAAATGCTACTAAAGTGTTGTTGAGAAAGGTGTATTTTCAGCATCAAGGGATGGGATCTGCTTTAATCTTGTTTTTACGGCGACGCGTGAGTGTCTTTCTGTGTTTCTGGGTGACTTTTACTGTGACAACATCGAATGTGGCAACTACACACACTGTCTCTGATTTTCTGTGATCCCATGGGGTCTGATGTTGGTCCAATACAACCGTGCCCAATTTGCTCAGCATTTCCTGGGTCTTATGCTACAAGACATTATCATGTCTGTGTAGTCTGGACATTAGCTCATTGCAGATGGTAGTTTTGACATGGAGGGCTGACATGCTCTTTAAATCTCAAACCCAACACAATGGCCGAATGTTGTCCTACGCCGTCAGCCGGAGTAACTATTATTTATACTATACAAATAAGACAGTGTTTCAGTGTTGTCTTAGTAGGTCATGGAAGGCCACCGGTGGTACAGTCACCGCTCGGTCCCTTCTAGGTCAGTGGGCTAAATCGTAATAATGCTCTATTTGTTTGCCTTTCTCGGTGTTGGTTTAAGTCTTCATCAGAACGATTACAATGTTATCACTGGAAAACATTAAATGTCACGTCTTAATTCAATTCTACACTAGCTGTATTAAATGTGTTATTCAGTTGAGGACATAAAGTTAAGGATAGATACTTAACAGCCGGATGGACGGTTAAAAGCACATTGGTTTAAGAAGAACCAAACCGCAAGAATACATCACTCTCACAAAACCAATAACACTAAGTTGGATGTGGTTATCACTCTAGTGTAGATGCTGAGTGGTTAGTGCAGCCCTGTTTCTTATCTGATTCACAGAATGTCTTTTACACCCAACCAACTGACCAACACCACCATTGTTTTCTATGATAATAGTTCATTGTATGACAATGGGCTTAAACAGGTTCTAGGTGTCGTCGTGTTTGCTACGCTGATGTGGCTTTTATTTAGCCAACAGCTGATCAGATGAGGCCAACGCATTTACATCTCCCTGTGTGTGCTGACAAACAGGCTGCCGCCGCCGTTGCCACCGCCGTCTAGAATCAACATTCCTCCAACAGTGATAGAAACAGGATTTCTTACAATACTCTTGAAATCATGAAGTGGTCCTGACTCCTGACCAGCACTCACTGCTAGAGCATGGCATTAACATGGCCAGGGTTAGGGGTTCGATTCCCATTGGGACCACCCATGCTTAAAATGTATGCACTCACGGTATTGTAAAGACGCTTTGGATAAAAGCGGCCCCAAATATATATATATATCTATATATATATATATCTATATCTATCTCCATTAGCTAAGTGTGAAGAGGAGGCAACTTTAGAACAGGGAACCTGTGGGTTAATAAGTGTCAAACTACTAGTATATTAGTTATGAGCAAGACCTCACTTTAGAATGGGGAACTTAATCTGAGTTAGAAAGACTTAATTTAGAGTTATTTGGACACTATTAACACTATATATATATATACACTCACCGGCCACTTTATTAGGTACACCTTGCTAGTACCGGGTTGGACCCCCTTTTGCCTTCAGAACTGCCTTAATCCTTCGTGGCACAGATTCAACAAGGTACTGGAAACATTCCTTAGAGAGTTTGGTCCATATTGACATGATAGCATCACGCAGTTGCTGCAGATTTGTCGGCTGCACATCCATGATGCGAATCTCCCGTTCCACCACATCCCAAAGGTGCTCTATTGGATTGAGATCTGGTGACTGTGGAGGCCATTTGAGTACAGTGAACTCATTGTCATGTTCAAGAAACCAGTCTGAGATGATTCGCACTTTATGACATGGCGCGTTATCCTGCTGGAAGTAGCCATCAGAAGATGGGTACACTGTGGTCATAAAGGGATGGACATGGTCAGCAACAATACTCAGGTAGTCTGTGGCTTTGACACGATGCTCAATTGGTACTAATAAGCCCAAAGTGTGCCAGGAAAATATCCCCCACACCATTACACCACCACCACCAGCCTGAACCGTTGATACAAGGCAGGATGGATCCATGCTTTCATGTTGTTGACGCCAAATTCTGACCCTACCATCCGAATGTCGCAGCAGAAATCGAGACTCATCAGACCAGGCAACGTTTTTCCAATCTTCGATTGTCCAATTTTGGTGAGCCTGTGCGAATTGTAGCCTCAGTTTCCTGTTCTTAGCTGACAGGAGCGGCACCCGGTGTGGTCTTCTGCTGCTGTAGCCCATCCGCCTCAAGGTTCGACGTGTTGTGCGTTCAGAGATGCTCTTCTGCATACCTCTGTTGTAACGAGTGGTTATTTGAGTTACAGTTGCCTTTCTATCAGCTCGAACCAGTCTGGCCATTCTCCTCTGACCTCTAGCATCAACAAGGCATTTGCGCCCACAGAACTGCCGCTCACTGGATATTTTCTCTTTTTTGGACCATTCTCTGTAAACCCTAGAGATGGTTGTGCGTGAAAATCCCAGTAGATCAGCAGTCTCTGAAATACTCAGACCAGCCCGTCTGGCACCAACAACCATGCCACGTTCAAAGTCACTTAAATCACCTTTCTTCCCCATTCTGATGCTCGGTTTGAACTGCAGCAGATCGTCCTGACCATGTCTACATGCCTAAATGCATTGAGTTGCTGCCATGTGATTAGCTGATTAGAAATTTGCGTTAACAAGCAGTTGGACAGGTGTACCTAATAAAGTGGCCGGTGAGTGTATATATATATATATATATATATTAGTGCTGTCAATCGATTTATGATTGTCCATAGTTAATCGCGATTAATCGCACATTTTTGTGCTGTTATCCTTTAAAAATGTACCATAAAGGGAATTTTTCAAGTTTTTCTTTTCAACATGGGAATGGACAAAATATGCTTGCTTTATGCAAATTTATGTATTTGAAGTATAGCCTAACTGCTGTATCAAAAGAAATGTAAGTATAGCCTGAGTGCTGTTCCTCCACGTCGGGGCCCTAGTTACCGCCAGGACCCAGTGCCTGGCCTCGTTCTATGTTGCCTAGGTTCATTTTGGCGGGCGTGGCGGCAGGTTTCGGCGCCTACCTGCTGTATCCAGGAATCCTGTTTCTGTAATTTTCCACTTTCCACCGTTTCCTGCTCACTTTATTACCTCATTTTTTTTGACGCAATAATGCAGGTACTGGCCATTTGAGAGACAAGCGGCGCAGCACAGAGGAGCGGTACCTTGTTGTCGGATTGCTTGTTGCCATCCGTCTCTCATTGAAAATTAATGTCCAGCGGGCGCGACTAGCAATCCGACAACAAGGTACTGCTCCTCTGCGCCGTGCCGCTCGTCTCCCATTGAAAATGAATGTCTAGCGGGCGCGCATCGCGCCCCATTTAAAACGGCCTGTACCTGGGTTAATGCGTCTTTAGCCTTTGGCCTCCAAGGCCATTATGCGTTAATGGCCTTGGAGTACAAAGAAGTCGCAACATTTCATGTTTCCTGTCATGTTTCCTGTCATGTTGTTAGACCTATTGTGGTTTTATTTTGGTTATTCATGCTTTAGGTCACCGCTGTGACCCTATCAAATCCAGTCTTCCTCAGGACTTTGATTTATCGGTGGTTTTGCTTTCCTGTGTGAGAATAATGTCTTACAATGTTATTTATTAAAAAAAATAAAAAAATCTGAGATTTGAGAGGTGAAAGCTGAAATAAATTATACAGCAGTGTGGGAGGAGAACAACAAAAACTTGGCATATGAAATCGACTATGGTAGTATGGTTAATTTTTTATGTCTCAGTAAAAAAAAAAACTTGCCGGTAGAGTGGCAGTAAAGACATAAATATGCAATACAAAGACCGACATAAATAGTATTAATAATGGGTCTAAATAACTAAATGTCTGTCAATAATCAGATCCAACTCATATTTGTATACCTCCCGGAGCAAACTCTGGATAATGCCCTTACATTTAATTGGAGAACTCAGGTGTGCAGTGAGAGGAACCAGACCAAAGCCTACCAGGCCCTATTAGGCCCCCTGTCAGCCTCTGCCACCTTGTGGACCGTGTATCAGGCTCCCCACGTCTCTCTTGTTTCGGCTGTGTGCACTTGCCCTTAGGATGTTCTCTAGCACAACCCCCAAAATACCTGTTTATCAACCGACACCACTCCTAAGCCTTAACCCCAACACCGGTCATTAAAACAGTAAGCATTACTTTACGTTGAATATCATCATCATCATGATCTACTGCCCCACCTGTCCTCCTGTATGAGTCATAGCACAGTGTGTGCTCAGTAAGAAGGTTTTATTTCTGAATGCATAGAATTAGAAATTAAATGTGGTTTCTTTTGTAATTGCTAAGAGGCACCTGACCTACTGTATCTCTGTTTGTTTATGAAGAAGAAGAAACTGTAAAACCCTTTAGTGAGAGTGACTGAATATTCACGTGAATATCTGTCACTGCCGTTGTAGAGCCTCATATCTCGTACATTGCAAAGCCACCTATGAGAGTCATTTCGCCCCACTTTATTCTTAGCTTTAACCGTCTCTTGGAACCGCCTAAGGTCGGCAGTCCTGTTAGTACCGTTCTTATTTCTGGCTGAGATTTCCAGCCGGGATTCAGCTTGGTAGCGTCAATCTGCAATCACTTGCTTGGGGGAAGCTGCGACCCGCTGATAGAAATCTATTGTGGAGAAATGTGAAGATAAAATGGCTTTGTGAATGTACGCCGTGCACGAGTCTATAGATAGTCACGCTAATTGCGCCAATGCCTTGAGATGCGCTAAGGCCCAACAAAGGCTTGTTTATTTTTTAATTGGATTACATAAAGATGTCCTTTCTACCCCTGCACTACATGTTTTATTTAGCCTAGTTTATGAATGTCATGAGGGAAAACGAGGAGGGATTGATTGGGTGGCTCTCTATATTTGTACGTCTTGAAAACCAAGTCCTCCAAATGAATTACGCAGTGGAAATTAATTGCCCTGTGCTTGTAATGAATTTCCTTTTGACCAGGTATTGTTAAGTGCTCACCATGTCTAACAAGAGGATGGCGTATTTGTCTGTAACCGTTTGAATCTTTGACCTCCACTTCGTCACCTGCCGCCTCCGGTATTACATGGCTAAGACTTGTGCCGCCGTCGTTTCTACTGATGAGACTTTGCCGTTGCTGAGACTGCTACTATGTACTGCTTAGTCTGGTCTATATGCAGTAGGCCTTCATATTGTGCGTTGATTTATGGCACTCCCTCGGTCCCATGCAAAATGCTACAGTTTACACTTAAAAATATGGGGGCCTCATTTTAACGCAGACATTTCACCGTGAAAGCTTCAGCCAATGAAAGATGTGGAATACAATCTGATACTCTAATATACTTGGGCAACCACTGAAGAGTTTTGTCCTTACTAACTAACTAAAGGGTACATGTACCCCTCTATTAGGCGAGATTTCATGCAAGATTAGATGCAGGTCTCTCCAACTTTAAAAGAGGGACTGGCACTTATCATGCATAACCCTGCCATTTATTTCAGTAAGTGGATGGACATATTTAAATTGGACCCAATCGGGTGACAGGTCGTGTGTGTGTGTGTGTGTGTGTGTGTGTGTGTGTGTGTGTGTGTGTGTGTGTGTGTGTGTGTGTGTGTGTGTGTGTGTGTGTGTGTGTGTGTGTGTGTGTGTGTGTGTGTGTGTGTGTGTGTGTGTGTGTGTGTGTGTGCGCACGCGTGCATTGGGAGAGTCTAATCTAGTGCTGTTAATGGCTGTTAAGACATAATGGGGTCCAGGGATTGATGGTTCTGATATTTCCTTTACCCTTGACCTATTCTTCTACTCTCTGCTTTTTTAGTTCATTCAACTTCTGGCACAATGGCCTAATCCATACGGAGGATAGGGAGGATGGGGAGGATACGCTTGAAATATGAGGAATGCTCAAAAATGAATGTCACCACGTAAAATGCACTGCAAATATACTAGTCTCTGTAATAAAGTATAATGGGAAAGTATGAGATGTTTTACTAAGACAATTTAGATACATATTTACTATTTTTAAAGTAGCAATATGAAGCTATATTCCATTCTTAATGATAATGATATTTCTGTCATTATAAACGACCGAGCAATTCATCCAAAATGTTATTTTCCGTCATAACAACACTCCATTATAAAGTGTTAAAACACATTCATCCAAAGTGACTTGCTTGTGAGATAAAGAACAATGAAAGCAAGTTGGGCTCACTACAAAAAGGA